TGTAGCATGGTTGTTAATCTCCTTGTTTGAAATTTGTGGATTTGAGGATAAAGACTAAAAGAGGTAAACTTGCCCAAGGTCATTGAGTAATAGTATGAAATTTAGAATTAGAACTATCTGATTTTGGATTTAGGTGGTAAGAGCTTGAACTGTGCAACTAGATAGACCTCTATTTGGTTCTACCTCTTTAGTTAACAATGGTGACTTAATAGCTTTAGGTCTCAATTTTTTAAACATTTAATGGAATGATAACATCAATTTAAAGTGTTAATCTTGATAATTAAATTATATATACAGATATGGTATGGAATAGATGCTTCATTAATACAAGTTCTCTTTCACTATCCATTTTAAGTATGTGGATTCATGCATAGTATTAGATTTATAATATTTTTATGAGTTATCTCCTCATAATAATGAAAGTTCTTCCAATTCTGATGATACTGAATGTTATTTATTTGTTTTTAAAAGGGAAATCAACTAAACATGTAGAAAGGTAGCCAGTATACCCCAAGTCACACATGGATTTGAAATAGCATCTAAATCTCTTCTTTAATCACTCCTCTACTGCAACAGAAATGCACTCTAAAACACTCAATTAGGTTTACTCAGCTTAGTAAGTAGACTCAGGATAGATAGGAATTCCTATAGAAGAGGTCTGACAGTTGGTAGTCCTTCATTGAAAATTTATCCAAAAAGTTAACAGATCTACCTCTTCTTACATCTCTTTCCTTTTTTCATCTCTTGATTATTTTTTACTGACTAAAATTATAGAAACTCAAAACTGTAAAATTTAATTACTTTTATAGAATACACCATAGTACATTTACTATAAATAATTCACACCATACTACCCTTGTCAAAAGGAATGAGCAAAGTATAGATCATGATACAGGACCCATGATTTTATTGTTTTTACTCACTTATTCACTAATTCTCCACCTCCAGTTCCCTGTCACTGTGAATTAGAGTGTTTCTGCTGTATACAAATATTGTATTCTGGGTAATTAGATATTTGGATAGGAGTCTCTGTAAATTACTTTAACTGGTGTCAGTTCTGAAGCAAATAAGTTTTTAGTTCTGTTTCTAGTTTGGGTTATTTTCTGACCCTCAACAGCCTGACATAAAGGAGTGCTTTTCTTTGTCAAAAGCAGCCCTTTCAGATCTAACTGCCAGACACACTATTGAGCTATGTGTTCAATTCTAATTGGCTGAGATCTTTTCAATTCGGCAGTTTCATCTTTAATGCAATGGAAGTAAGATTATGTGTAGGTCTTTTCAATGGGTTTTCCATACCAGTGATTAGGGCAGAGGATTTGAACATAAGCAGGTTTCTGGCTATTTCTTCTGGCCAATTTAAATTGATTCATACAATTTCTTTTTACCCCAGGGAAAGGGCAGAACAAATCCAGGTGAGAGAGACAGCTATCTCTATACTTTCATATGGAATAGTAGAATTGAAGGTGGGGGAGGACTTCGGGAAGAGGAAATACTCAAAGTATTGTAAAAATTGAATGTCTAAACAGTATGGCATAGAAATATTGAAACCTAACCAGGCATCTGTGTAGAAACTAGATCATAGAGAAAATTATTCCAAAAATGATTTTGAACTCTTCAGGTTAAAAAGGGCCATGTAAATAACAACCATTCTTCATATCTGATCCTACAGAGAGCCATGGTTAGTAGACAATTCTCTGAAAGTATGTCAAAAGAGACTAGATGACACTTTCAGAACTCCAAAGCACTCATAGAAAGCCCTTTCTGGACAGCAGAAAGAAAGAAAGTAAACAGTTTGGGTCAGGCCAAAATTTTGCCTTAGAATCCCTCAGGGACAAATGCTACAGAGAACAACTCCACAGTTTTCTGTTGTGGTAGACTAGGATGAACATTCATATTTGGCATCAGATAGATGTTCTTTTTCTTCCAGGACAGGGTAGCATACATGGTAAACCATGATAGGGACATTTCTATATCATCTTAGAAAGCTGTCTGAACTTGATCTCCAAGTTCCCCAGGAAAATCCTTAGTAACGCTAATCAAGTAATATTGTGATACCCTCTCTAAGGGAGGAAGGGTAGCATTTCTTTATCCAAAAAGAGCAAGGACTGTGAAATGTTGATGGTGTTAACAAGACCATTTCTATCCCCCCTGAACCCATGAAAACAGCACATTTCTCTACCCAGAGAAAAATAACAACAATTTTATTTGTCGGTTTGACTTGCTTTGCCCTAGAACATATGCAAAACATCCATCTGTCTCCTGGGTACTAACATTCAATTTGTTAAAATTCATAGTAATAATGGAATTTGACACTGAGTCCTGGCACATTAGTTGAACAAATAAGGGTGACAAATATGGCATATGTTGCAAAGACCAGCAAGTAAACTCTGTAAGCTAAAGGATTTTTGTTGTTATTTGGTTGGAAAACTTAGAAGCTTGCACAGTGATTCATTGTTTCATAAGGTGCAGAATACTACAAAAAATAAAAGTAAAGCCAGTTTTTAACCATTGCTTTCAATCAACTAAAAACAAACAAAGCCAACCCTTGTGAAGAGATAGCTGCAGTAGCAATTTCTGAGCTGCCTTCCAGAAGACTAATGCTTTGTAAACAGTCTTACTCTGAAACTCACATTTTGTGAGAGACACTATCTAAGAATCACTTGAATAAATGCAATTGGATTGAGAAACTAGAATTTAGTAATGTCTCGCCCAAGGCTTCAGAATATTTAGTATTTTCCAATTGATACTCAAATATATACAAAGTAGAAGATCTTTGTACTTAACAGAAATATTCTCATGTTTATCACATGACATGTACAGCACATGTTTGTGAATATTCATAGCAGCATATTTGTAATAACCCAAAACTTTAAATTATTCGAATGTTTGTGAATAGTAGAATGAATAAATTGTGATGTAGTCTCAAAACATTACCCTACACCAAAAAAACAGTAAACCATTTCTAATTGCCTATAACATGTGGATGAATCTCACAAATTGTCAGCCAAAGGAATCCAGGCATGAAAGGTGTAAACTTTAACATTCCATTTATATAAAATGAAAAACGCAGCAAAACTATTTAGTGGTGCCCTCCTGGGGGAGTGACTGAAAGAGAATGTAAGTAGGACTTCTGGGTGTTGGTCATGTTCAATGTCTTCATCTAGGAACTGAGTAGGTTCAATCTGAAAATTTGTTGAGCTGTATGTTTATAACACATGCAGAGCTGTATACATTTGTATGAATCCAATACTCAAATAAAAAGTGAACAATATGTTAGCCTATATCTAACTTATTACTTCATACTCCAGATCTATATGCTTGTCTCTATTAAAGTAATTCCCATGCCATCTTTTCATTAGCAGAATTCGGATCTGTATATTTGGTTTTCTGCTTGAAAATGCTACAGCAGTTCTCTATTTTCATTCATCACACTCCACCTCTCCTTTTACTGGTAGATTTTCATATTCCACTTCAGGTAGAAAGCCTTTTAGATCAACTTATTAGGCCAAGAAATGTTACTGCTTATGTATTGCATTTTTCAGTATGGTCTTTTAAGATTCTAGCATTGAAAACATAAATATATTTATTTACATAGTTTAAACACCCTAAAATACAACACAGTCATCAAAATTTAAAATAATAATTAAAATGTTCCTTAAAAGTCTGAGATATTTTATAATATTCAGTTTCAACTCTAGTTTCAATACAGTGTACACTGTTCCTTGCCAACTGAAAATCTGTTCTCCTTCTGAGTATATGTGTACACAGAATTCACTTATGAGGCACAAGAGATCTTTTTTTTTTTTTTTTTTTTTTTTTTTTGACAGAGTGGACAGTGAGAGAGAGAGACAGAGAGAAAGAGAGAGAAAGGTCTTCCTTTTTACCATTGGTTCACCCTCCAATGGCCGCTGCGGCTGGCGCACCACGCTGATCTGAAGCCAGGAGCCAGGTGCTTCCTCCTGGTCTCCCATGCGGGTGCAGGGCCCAAGGACCTGGGGGTCCATCCCCCAGTGCACTCCTGGGCCACAGCAGAGAGCTGGACTAGAAGAGGAGTGACCGGGATAGAATCTGGCGCCCCAACCAGGACTAGAACCCAGTGTGTCGGCACCGCAGGCGGAGGATTAGCCCATTGAGCCAAGGCGCTGGCCACAAGAGATCTTAATAGCAATGACAGACATGCTAATATACCTTCTGAATGTCTCTAGCTACTTTTGCCTTTAAATGAAGTATTTTGTTATCAATAAACTTTCTTTTTGAACCATTATTACTACCACTGCTGTCACAACTAAAATATTAATTATAGGTCCTTATTTTGTGCTGGCTACTGTTCTCAGCAATCTGCATGTATATTTTCTCAGTTGCCCTTTACAACCTTTGTGAAGTAGAAGTTGCTGTTATCCTTATTTTTAAAGTGAAGAATTGTAGCTAAGCAAGATCAAATAACTTGCACAAGGTCAAAAAACATGATTTGATTTAAACCCAGGTGTTCTCACACCAGAGGATAAGCTATCAGCACTTTGACTTCAAGTCAGCTTATACTAAAGCACTAATCATTGTTTCTCTTACACTTGTCTAGCATAGCATAGGCATTATCAGAAAGCAGGTTAGATCTTAACAAATATTCCTTATTTTTCTTTATTTCTATTTCTTCTTTTTGCAAAAAAGTTGGATCCACAAGATTCCCTTATACAAGAAACACAGACTAGCTCTGATCCATTCTGTTGTTTATCACATTTTTCCCCTAATACCTAGAAGTGGATCAGTTCATTCCCTTTTCAAAGGGCCAATAGTGAGAATGCCTTCATCTGTAGCCCAGGAGTTGCTTTCTCTAATGATGGTCTATTGGACTCTTTGATCCAAATCCCCAGAGACTCAAATACAGTCTACAGAGGAAATTCAAGTGTACAGGTTATGCAAGCAAAGGAATTATTGATGCATCAACATAATTTATGCACATACTTCAATGTATCGCTATAGAGATGCAATGATTAAAAAAATACCTCTTTCATAAGCCCACATCAAACATGTCTGCTCATCTTTTTCACCACTAGACCTGCTGGGATCACAGGCTACTAGATTCATATCAGCTCCATTATCCAGTAAGAACTGAACCAGGCGGATGTGACCATGGTAGCAAGCAGAATGTAGTCCTGTAATAGGAAAGTAAGAGACTGAAAGGAGAAAATGGAAAAAACTGCACCTTGATTTTTCAAAAGACAGTCATCACTACATAACAGCATTGTTTCCAGAAATTTAAAATAATAATTGGTTCTTTAACAATTCTATTACCGAACAAAGAAGACAATACTTTAAGCAAGAATATTATCTTCTAGTCAATCTTTTATATAGACCATATTTTCGTCAGTAGAAGTTGTAGTATTTCTATATCTACTGCAATTATCAAGAACAGATGTTAGCATCTTTATATACATAAAAGGATGAGGACTCCAAGCAGATCTATTTCTTATGCAGCAAACCAAAGGCAGGACAGTTTTTGTTCAATCTATTCCTGGTACAGGCCTTCAAGGAATACATTGAGAAAACATAATATAATGCAAGCGGCCAGCCCTGTGGCGTAGTGAGTTAAGCCGACACCTGCAAAATGGGCATCCCATGTGGGCGCCAGTTTGAGACCTGGCTGCTCCGCTTCTGATTCATCTCTCTGCTATGGCCTGGGTAGAAGTAGAAGTAGAAGATGGCCCGAGTCTTTGGGCCCTTGCACCTGGGTGGGAGACCCAGAGGAAGCTCCTGGCTTTGGATCAGCGCAGCTCCAGCCATTGTGGCCAATTGGGGAGTGAACAAATGGATGGAGGGCCTCTTTCTCTCTCTGCCTCTTTCATGCTCTGTGTAACTCTTCCAAATAATAAATAAATCTTTAAAAAAATAATATAACACAATAATAAAACTGACTGAAAGTCAGTCTGCTTTTATGATCACCATTCACCATCAATTCTAAATTATATCAACCCACATCCACTCATCTAGGCCAATTCTGGTGCTGCCTCCTCTAAGCACACCACCAATTTTGAGCATCGGTAATTATCAGGAGCTGTGTGGCCATCTTACCAGTGTGGCCATCCCTTCCTTGGTGGTTGATGTTTATGACATTCTGATCAAGAAGGAATTTAACCAGGTCAATGCTTTTGCCATAGGTACAAGCACTGCAGAAACACAAGAAAAAAAAATACTTTCTTTTTGGATTGAATTATTTCCTCCCCAAATTCATATGGTGAAGCCGTACTTCCTATAGCCTCAGAATGTGACTATATGTAGGAAAAGTGTCTTTAAAATGCAATTAAGTTAAAACAGAGTCATTAGCACCTGCACTAATCCAGTGTAACTGGTGTCATTATTAGAGGCATAGAATACAGATGACACAGAGGGAGAAGGATGTGAAGGCACAGTGAGGTTGCCAACTTCAAGCCAAGTAGAAAGGCTGCAGAAGCAAACAGCCTTGATATTAGACTCCAAACCTGCAGAATTACGAGACAATAAATTAAAAAAAAATTGTAAACCAATAAGTCTGTGGTATTTTGATAAGGCAGCCTTAGCAAACTAATACAGCTACTCTAGGTGTTATTGTGTATATTAAAGTACCAAAGAGGCAACAGAGAGAAGGAAGGTGGGATTCAAGGAAGACCTGGTTAAAAGGAACTAAGCAAAATCCATCAAGGGTAAATAAAAATATGTACATACTATAGGGATAAAATACTGAAGATTTATACCTTTAGGCCATCAAGAAAAGACTTATATAACATTCCTTGTATTTTCTTACTTGCTTTATATATTTGGCACTCCAGTATGTAAGTGTTATTTCTCTTGCTGGATTGAACTCTTTTTCATTATGTAATGACCTCCCTGGTCTCTTTTTAACCTTTTTGATTTAAAATGCATTTTATCTAACAGAAGTATGGCTACTCCTGCTTTCTTTCAGGTTCCATTCCTATGGGACATCTTTTTCTATCCTTTCACTTTTAATCCATGTGTATCCTTAGAAGTGAAGTGAGTTTCTTATAAGCAACTTATATTTAGATCCTGTTTTTTAATCCATTTCATCACTCTATATCTTTTTGAAAAAAATGTATTTATATAGGGTGAAAATGTTATGTATATCATATACACTGATTTAGGAGTGATCCTTCATACCCTACCCTCCCTAATGCCCATGATGCCAACCTCCCTCCTCTTCTTTCTTATTTTTTCTTTTAATTTATACAAATGACATGTTTTCAGTTTATAATCATAAGCTTAACCCTCCATTAAACTAAAGATTTCAACAGATAGTAGAAAAGAAAAAAAACACTGTTCCTCAATAGTAGAGACAAAGAATGTAAAAAATTTCATGTTTTTCGATTTGGTGGTTTATTCCATGACATTTAAGGTAATTATTGACATATAATATATTTTTTCTTACCTTATTTGTTTTTATTTATATAAAGGGGACAGATTTCATGTGAACAGTTTTAAGAGCATAATGATACTTTCCATGCTACAGTCCCTGCTTCCCTCACTTCTACCCTTCCTCCTCCTTCCTTTCCTGTTTTTCTTTTGACTACTTACAATGCCATACTTTCAATTTATTTTATAATCACAAGCTTAACCCTCCACTAAATAAGTAATTCAATAAGTAGTAACTAGAAACAGTACTGTTCCTGGTGGTGGTACATGCCAAAAGTCTGTGTCATCAGGGCACAGGATTCTGCCCAATATTGGGACAAGTCCAGAGACTCCATCCTTGAGCACTGGACTAATGATAGAAACCATTCGGATTTGCCTAACACTCAGCTTTATCAACCCAGCATTGATTTCCATGACACAGTCCTTTTGGTCTCTTGCTGTCTGCTCAAATTTGGAGGTGAAAGAAGGGTGCTAAAGTCAAACTGCAAACTGGTCACACCTGGGTCCCACCATTCCTGAGCCCCACGAATGCAGTGAGTGACACATATGAAAAGGAGTCTGACTCACCAGAACACAGGTGTTTACCTGATGCAGGCAAATCCAGAGGCTGAGCGTGTGGGCACTGGCTAGTGGCAGAGGTCTTTGGGATTTGATCTCTTGCTGGATCTTGGTGCAGTAGACCTGACTTTGAGCTCCAAGGTGTGGTCCTGAGGTCTCTCCCAGGCCTATCAGCAGGACTACAGTTTTTCTTTCTGCTGACAGTTGGGAGAGGGTGGCTGGAGGTCATTTGGGTATGGAAGTTTCAAATATTCACTCCATGCCTAGGGACCTGGGGGATCAGCTGGTGGACTCAGCCTGACTGAAGGTCTTCCACAGAGGGCCTGGCACTGGTATCCAGTCCACTCTTGCGCTCCTAAATGGGCGGTGCCTTTCTACACTGCACTGACCAGAGCTGGGTAAACAGTGACACAGGGCACTCTCTTGCTTGCTCTCAACAGTGCAAATTGTAATCACAAGACAGGGCACTGTGGTCCGTTACGTGACCTCTGTAGATCTTGGGAAGGTGACTTTGGGTATGTTCATACTAAGCTGTTCATGTTGGTTGTCTGCAGGGATGTGGTTGCAGGATATTATTATCCAGTCGCCATCTTGGCTATACATCTAAATGTATGTATTTGTATATGTGTGTGTATCTACATAGGTGTATATATGTTTATGTAAACTATGACAGAAATGCATTGGGTGCTTATTACGTGCTTATGATGTGAACATTATAAAATTTCTATTCTGAGTGAATTCCTTATATAAAAATTTTATAAATATATGCCTAAGGTAAATAGATTTAAAATATTAGTCTGTTACTCTTGGTAGTCAACAGGCTTACACAAAATAAAACAAATGTGTCTACATTTTCAACTCACTTCACCAATCTTATAGACAAGTTTTTGGAGGTGAAAGTCACCCTTAAATTATAGCAGGCTTCAATTTATTTGCTTATAGTAGCAAAATGATTTGAAAACTCGCCTGATGTATGAGCTTTAACAGGCATGACATAATGGAAAGAGAGGATAACAGCAACCCATCCATCTCTGCTCTGCCAATTTTCCCCGTTAGGGACAGGCTCCAATGATCCATTCTGATTATGGTATGATCTGAAGAGTTCTTACATCTGTTCTGTTATTGAATGTGTAGAAAACAGACAAAATATTTTGGTAGTAGAACACGAAGACATGCAAAAAGCATAAGATATGGAATTAGGAAGGCTTTTATTGTATTTTTTTTCTAACCATAAGAAACTTTGACAATTTTATTACCTTCCTGAACCTCAGTTTCCTCATTTGAAGAAGATACGTAATAAATCCAACTTCATAATATGGTTGTGAGGATTAAAAGAAAAATGGATGCAAATCATGTGGCACATAGTCACTGCAGTTTTTTTTTTTTAACTTTTCTTTTTGCTGACCTCTTTCATTGATAAAAAAAAACCTGGAAATCCATTTGAAATTTGACAGGGTGATGTTTTATGCAGAATCACAAGCTTAATTTAGTTCAGTATAAAAAAAAGGTGTCTCTTCATTTTGCTATTCATCAGAGAAATACAGACATTACATAAACAACAGATTGGTCTCAAGTATCTCTTTCAGTCAGAGGTGGTGAAATAGTGAAGAAATAGGTAACATGTAAGTAAATGCACATTCAAGATTTACTAAGTTCAAATTGCTGTGCTTTCATTAAACAGCAAAATAGTTACTCATTCAAATGAGAGCTCTAAATTTTATAAGACATCTGCCTTCCTTTGGATATTATAGGAAGCTATGGTTTTGAGTTATTAACAACTAACTTTTTTCATTCTTTCCTTCTTTCTTTTTGTTTTTTTCATGCTTGAAACTTTTCCAATCCTACATCATCCTTCACCATGCTTGTAGAGCATCCTGTAAAGGACTCTCATATATTCCTAGGAAAGAGCTAATGCCTTCTTAGGTATCACAGTGGCCATCCTGAGTAGGCTTTTACAGGCTGACAGATGGATGTCTCAGATAGGTAGACACATTTGCACATCCGGTTTAAGTGGTAAGGAAAAAGTGTCACATTTGATGCTGATGAATTCTGGTAATGAGATTCTTGGAGGAAGAGGATTACGGGCACAGCCCTTGCTGGCAGCTTTCCACAGAGTGAAGAGGAATAGAAGCAATATGCTTACAGATGTTGATATGCCTGTTGCCTTGGCAACATCAGACCCTGTCTTTGTGGCTGCTGCCAGGAACATAGCATCTGGCTGCAGCCCCATCTGTTGTACTGACTGCAGCATCTGCGTACACCTTTTCTTCTGTGCATCTAGCTTGAGCTCCTTGTCCTTTGCTCTACCTCTGCTATCGTTCTCTGATTACAGCATCTGCCACTATTTGTTCTTGCTTTATGTACACAACTTAAGGTGCTGTAGGGCGTCAGCTAAGTTTAGGGTTATTGCACTGAAATATTCTTTTACCTGTGAAAAGCTGTTTCACTGAAGATATTTTCCTTAGTCAGACTTTCTGTTCCTGATATTTGAATGATTTCCTTAGCAACGTCAAATTTGCCATTGTAGCATGCCCTATATTTGGAGAAAATATTTTGTTAGTAAGAGAGCACATACAGCATATTTAGCTGACCTATGCAATGCTAGAGAATACTCACAAGTGCAAAGGGGTGTCTCCGTAGATATTAACAACATGGGGTTGAACTGCCAAGTCACTTTGGAGCAGGTACTTCACTATATCATGGTGTCCAAAGCGAGAACAGAAGTGGAGTGGGACATGGTCTTCATTATCCTGAGCATTCACTGTCAGCAGCAAGAAAGAGAAAGGTATATTAACAGGAGTCCTCTGTTTCTCACCCTTCATATGTGTAGTGCCATGGACATTTCTAAGTGCCTGAGAGACTCCTGGAAATTGCCAATTAATGATAATAATAAAGGAAATTAAGTGCAACCAATTAAAAATGTCATAATTCTATTCTATTGCCTATTACCACATTAAACAGGCTTTCTTCAAGCTCTCATAAATTCCATGGAATGCATCACATCAAATCTACCTTGAATAATGGAATAGAATAGTTCAGGAAACTCATAAGCACACAGAAGGAACTTGTGGCCTTATTTCCATGAGAACCTCATTTCAAAAAATTTATCCCCCTCAAGGATGTGAAAAACTATAGATCATGGCTAATGCATCATTCCCAGAGATATCTGTTCATTAGGTTTAGTGGGACCTGTTAGGAAGTTCTGTTGTATCCCCTCAGCTGAGAAGTATCATACCACGCTATACAAAGCAAGGTCTAATGAAAAGAAAAAAGCGCTTTAGGGCAGCACAAACCTTATTAATTACATCACTTTCAGGCAGGTCATTTAAAATCTATTGTCCACTCCATCATGGATACTTGTCATTTTCTTTGGACCACACATACTCACAATTTCATAGGATATGTGGGAGTTCCCCAGACTGCAATTACCAACAAGAAATCAAGATCATGTTCTACAACAGAATCTGAGAATGTGCTTTCTGAGACTCCTTTGCATCTGGGGTACAGGAAAAGCAAAGGGTGACCATATGTTCCTATTTAGACTTGTTATCCTGAGATAACTCTTTTTTTTTTTCTTTAAATATTTACTTATTTGAAAGGTGCAATTGTGGAGAGAGGGGGAGAGAGAGAAGGAGAGAGAGAGAGATTTTCTTCTGACTCATTCCTCAAATGGCCACAACGGCCAGGACTTGGCCAAGCCAAACCTAGGAACTTCTTCCAGATCTCCCACATTTGTGGCAATGACCCAAGGACCCAGGCCATCCTTTTCTGCTTTTCCCAGGCCTCTAGCAGGGAACTGGATTGGAAGTAGACAGCTGGAACTTGAACTTCTGCCCACATGGGATGCTGAAATCACAGGCAGAGGCTTAGTCTGCTCTGCCATAACACTGGCCCCTCAAGATAGTTCTCAATAGTGACACTTTTACTTTTAATAGTTCCCTGGTTTGGACACCTAGCCATAGACTCCTCCACTCAGTAAGTCATATCTGACTTTGACTTTGGAGTTAATGATACAAAAAAGCAAGGCTTAATCTATCCTGGCAGTGTGGTAATATCTCCATCCAACTTCTAGGGTACCACTTCCAATTACAGATTCAGTATCTTGCATTATTGATGCAGAAGCACAAGTGTTGATGTGTATGTACTGGAGTGACCATATTTCTTCACAAGACCAGTTTGGGATGTGATTTTTGATGTTGTTCCTCATTAGGAATATTCCTATGACAATAATTTTACCCTGTTCCAGGGTAGATTTTGCCTGCTACTTGATATCCTTTAATATATTCCTTTTATGTTTACATTAGAACAAGTTAGTTTCCAATGCCTGAAGGTAAGAAAATGACTGATATGCTCTCATGCCTTTACAAGTATTTAATAATCGCTATGCAATAGCCACTGTATTAGGTGTTAGAGGTGTGATGTCTTATCATTAACAATGGTTGTAATAATGCCAGAGTTGCAAGGATACTGAAGGCATTAAAGGAGATCATGATGGAAAGCACATAGCATGATGCTTGTCACTTTATCTGTTTACTAAATTTCCCCTTATAAATGTACTAAGTGCTGAATAAAAAATATCTATAAATACAAAGAGTCCATACCCTCAAACACTTTACAGTCTAGTTTAACAATTAGTCATTACAGCTCTGGAGAAAGAATAACTGATGTCCAGACTGTTCAATTATTAGTATGGCTTTAAGTAAATTTTTAAAACTAAAATAATTCGATCTCTGATGTTTAACCATTTTCTTTATTATTTATCCTACTTTACACAAATTTATTTATTACTTAATCACTTCATAGACCTGAAGGAATTGAAAGAAACTAAAATATAAAAAAAAATGTAGAGCAGGAAAGAAAAACAAAAGATGGTAATAATTACATGTAAAAATGTGTACATTGGTATAATCATCATATAACAATTACCGACCACTGATTTGGGCCTTGTAGATGCTAAATGTGGGACAACCATTCTCATTTCATTGCCCTGTAAGATCTTCAGCCAAAGGGAAGTCTTTAACAAAGTTGCAGAGCTTCTCTTCCTGAGGCTGGCATTGAAAATGAAACCTTTCCATCTTTTTTATTAATGAGAAGCTCAGAAAGATCTCTATTCTTCAGAAGAACATTCCTGGTTCTTTTGATTCTCTTCTTTTTTATGATACATTTCCTTTGTTCACATTCTGTTCGAGGCCGGGGAGAATCGATGCTGTGTGTCAATGCTTGAGGAGTTGGGAGTGCAGGGCATCTGGAGGTTGCTGTCAGCACTCTTGAGGTCCAAAAGAGGAGTGGTAAAGCAGCACGCACTGCATTCTCCCATTAATTCATAACTTACCTCTGGCCATCCGCAGCCCCACCCAACATTATTCTTCATCAATTGAATCAATAAACTAGAAAGTAGGTTATCTACTCTGTGAATTATCTGCAGTGGCCTAGACATTGTTCCCATCAAAGATGTAAATACCAACCGAAGGTACAAGCCAAGAGAAACATGGGGTCAGATGTAAAGTTTATGTTTATACACGTGCATTTTTGCCATAGTAATTGTGATCTACTTAATTTTATCTTGGACTAATTTGCAAAGACAAAAAAAGTATGTATTGTTCTCTTATCTCAGGAAAATGAAATATATGTATGATATTCTATTTGCTCTACCAACATCTCATTGAGAATTTTAATAAAGGAGACTTTCAAACAAAGTAATACATGTGCATCATTATTAGGAAAACATTATTGCCTAATCTTCTACTTTGAATAAATCAAGTGTTTAGTAATGTCTTTGGAAAGAAAGATTATTGAATGGGTGGGTGGATGCTGCTTCTTATTTATTTCTGCTTATTGACAATAAAGATTAAATAAAAAATTGCAGATTACCCCATCAATATCAGCAGATCCCAGAGCCTTTTTAATATAATTCCCAATGTGTCTTAAATAAAAATTAAATAACAAATCCATGCAATAGTTCCAATATGACATATTTGAAAAAAAAACCAACATTTTCTCTTACTGGGCATGCCTTTGAATTTTTTTGTGGCTTTTTGAAATCAGTTCTTTCAAAAGAATTGTGTTATTTAAAAAATTTAAAACAATTAATATTTAATTGTTAATTTAAAAATAAATTAAATTTAAACAATTTAAACATTTAAAACATAAAACAATTAAAATTGTGTTATTTGATGATCTGATGACAAAAATTTATAAATTCGGAATTTAAAAGCTTTTCACTTTCAACTTTATCAAAGTGATAAATTTTGAGGATTTTAACACTATTATTTTTCCTTATGGAATCCAGCAATATATTGACCTTTTCTACCTCATTCAATAGACAATATATTTCTCATTTTTCATGGCCCTAAGGCATAGAAGGGAGCAGACAAGAGATTTAAAACATACCCAAATGAATAGGTCAGCCTCCCAAACACACTGAACTAAAGAGGCTGCTTTCAGAATCATATTTTGCCTGATTTTGTAACCTGAATTTATTCTCATTCATGACATTCTGTTACCATGGAAACATACTGTAAATACTGAATTTCATATTGTAATCCTTTAGAGGTCATTCATTTGATCGTACCCTTAAATGCATTTACAATATACGAAGTCCAGATCTAAAAACAAAAAAAAAATCTTTTTGAGACCCAACTACCTTTTGGAATAAGTGGACTAACTGATAATAAGTGCTACAGCATGTCCATTAGTAAAGCAAATCTTCCAGTCTATTTTCTGCAATTGGTTAAAGTGAAAAAGGGACTTAACTATAAAGTGTATACTAGATAGAAATAAAAATACTTAAAAATTTGACTCATGCTGTCTCTAGTTTTTTTTTTTTTTTTTTTTTTTTTAAATGATTGAGTAGGAGGGATTTAGTACTTGTGTGAGTCAGGGATAAAATGTTAAAAATTATGTGATATGATACCAGTGTGTAAGGGGGATATGGTTGCTGTACACATTTCAATGCCTTTTACAGAAGAGTCCTTTGATGCCAGAGACATGCTGATCATAAATGACACTCATTTTGACACTACAGAGCTTTGGAGTTGCACAGAAGAATAAAAACCTGAGGTTGGCATTGATAATAAAGAGAAAAAGTGATGCAGTTCCTGACCCCTTGGAAGAGAGAGGTGGTTTTAAAAACACAATTACATGTTCAGTGGTTCACACGGGTATACCTCTGCCTATTCTAAACTAACAGAATGAAAGATACTGCTTAAACAAGGTCCAAGGAACAGCATCCCCTTCGTCCTCGTAACACAGGTTGTTTAAAATAACGCCATAGAGTAGATGCCCTAGCTGTTGCCCACTGGTTTAAAGAAAACAATACAAACCATGTTCATCAAATTTTACAAAATAAAGTGGCCCCTGCTTCCAACAAGGAAAGGGGGAACTTTCCTAGGTTCTTGCCTCAGTTGTCTCTCGAGCCTGTGTGTTTTCCTTGTGAGTAGAAGAAAACATTGATCAGGTTTATTAACCAAAGAGCAATCTGAATTTGGGGCCAAGGAACTAGCAGTTCTAGAGGTTTGACAACCATGTCCTTTTGAAAATGTGTATTGGTTCTGCTGCAAAGGCCAGGAGCTCTCACAGCTGGGCTTTTAATTAGGTCTCTAGGGGGTCAATGCAAGAATGTTGGATATGCCTGAGAGAATTTAATGGCAAAATGTAACTCTGAGTGAATTTGTGTCAAAAAATAAAGCTTGTAAGGAAGAGTGAAAGAAAGGAAAAAAATTAATACATACTTTTAATCAACTTTCTAAAATTCATTTTATAATTTAAAAAACTAAATGTAGAGAGAAATTCTATTATACACTCATTGAGCTGAAGATCTTTACACGTATTTTAAAGATTTTTCTCCAAACTTATCACACTCAAACTTTATTAAAAATTTTCGTAATAATATATCTGCTATTAGGAAGGAATTATGGAAAACAACTGGAATGCTGATATATTTCTGTGGGATTGAAAAATAATATTAACATTTGGAAAGCTGTCTATAAATTTTGTAGAAAGTTAGACAAATATGTACACTTTGGTCCAGCAATTACACACACACACAGAGGCTTATATATATATGTATATAAACTCAAGAGATACATGCATGTATATTCACAAAAATACTTCAATTAGATATGCTGCTAGTGAAACATGAAACATAGTAAGGTGTCTATTATGAGGAGAATTGATGCACAAATTTTAGTAGGAGGGTATTTCAAACAGTTTATAGAAAATTATATTAAAATGTTTATTTGGTGTAAAAAATTTGAAAACCATAAAATAACAAACTATGATTCATCCACAATATGGATACATGTCCAAATTATCTTGTTGAGTAAAAGGAGGCAGTCGCAAAATTATATGAACTTAACAGAAAAAAAAGGTAATCCATGGTGAAAGAAGCCAGAATGGTGATAATCTTCGTGGTGAAGGTTATTTCCTGAGACAGAGGCCCAAGAGAACATTTCAGAATGAAGAAACACTCTCTATCTTGATATGGGTGTGAGTTTACAAATAAGTAAATATTCATCAAGTGATACATTTGATATGTGGGAATATGCGTCTTCTAAATTATACTACAGAAAAAGTAGGGAGTAAGAGAAAGTCAGACTAATTTATATATGAAAATGCCTTAGTTTCTCTGAGCCACATAATATAATTAGAACTGACAAAAGTGTGTACAGGACTATTTACATGTGGGTTTAATAATCATACTATAAGTAATAAATTATGACTTGTGCAACAAATTAGCACATGGATACAGGATTAATCAACTTCAACATTATTCTCCAGTAAATAAGGGAAATATAAGAAAAATGTATGTATTAAGTAAGTGACAGCAAAGATCCTCTAAACATATAAGCTTACCATCTGCCTTGCTGCCTTCCTCCATTAAGAGTTTTGCAATATTGAAGAATCCTTTTGCAGACGCTAGGTGGAGAGGCCTATCTCCAACTTCACCACTTACATTTACATCAGCACCAAATTTCAAAAGGAGGCGGGTAATCTAAAGAATTCATTAATTGGAAATTAGTATCAAAAAGTCAAATAATGCAAAACTTTCAGTAGTATAGGAAAATTCACATCATTTAGACCTCCTGGATTATTCTCACATGAAAGAACAGAAAATCTTAACTCAATTAGCCTAAACAGTAAGGAAAATATTATATCACCTAACAAGAAATTTAAAACTACAGTAACTCCAGGGTTGATCAGTGAACAGCTTGATATCATTAGAATCCCATCATTCTGCTCCACTGTGCTCAATGAATAGGGTGAATCCCCTCATGGTGGCAAGACAGCTGGAACAACTACAGGCATCACCAAACAAGGTGCGGAGGCAAGAGCAAAGGATTACTTCTACATTTTGGAATAACACATCTGCTTTTTTTTTCTTTCTTTAATCTAAAAACTCCTTTCCAGAAATCATCTTCCTCATCTTCTCATAACCTTTTAGCCTGGACATAGGCCATTGGCAACTCTGTAAACCAATTTTTGGGCAAGACCAGAGATTTACTGTGAGTAGGTTTGATTAAGTAATATCTAACACACAGTGTAAAGAGACTAGAGAGAGGGACAGCTTGTGTAAGTACAACCTCTAGAAGAAAACTAAATATTGGGAAAAAATCATGGGTCTGCAAGCAAGAACTATGGAGCATCAGGAAACAGTAATTAGAATGACAATTTATCCCAATCAACAGTGCCTACTACTGACCATACAATGAGAGACGAATATTTTGGGGTTGGCAGTGTGGCTCAACTGGTAAAACCAACGGCCTGCCACGCCAGTATTCCATATGGGCACCAGTTCTAGTAGTGGGTGTTCCACTTCTGACTTTGTTCCTTGATAATGTGCCAAGGAAAGCAGCAGAAGATGGCCCAAATCCTTGGGCTCCAGCCCCCATGTGGGAGACCCAGAAGAAGCTTCTGGCTCCTGGCTTTGGATCAGCTCAGCCCCAGCCACTGAGGTCATTTGGGGAGTGAACCAGAGGATGGAAGACCTCTCTCTCTCTCTCATGCTTTCTGTAACTCTGTCTTTAAAATAAATAAAATAAATGTTAAAAAAAGAAATGAGAGTCAAGTTGGGAATTGATAATTTCTTCTTCTTCTTCTTTTTTTTTTTACAGAAGATCAGTTTAGTATACATTAAGTAAAGATTTCAACAGTTTGCACCCCCATAGAAACACAAAGTGAAAAATACTGTTTGAGTACTCATTATAGCATTAAATCTCAATGTACAACACATTAAGGACAGAGATCCTACATGAGGAGTAAGTGCACAGTGACTCCTGTTGTTGACTTTACAAATTGACACTCCTGTTTATGGCATCAGTAATCTCCCTATGCACCAGTCATGAGTTTCCAAGGCTATGGAAGCCCCTTGAGTTCTCCGACTCTTATCTTGTTTAGACAAGGTCATAGTCAAAGTGGAGGTTCTCTCCTCCCTTCAGAGAAAGGTACCTCCTTCTTTGAAGACCTGTTCTTTCCACTGGGATCTCACTCACAGAGATCTTTCATTTAGGTGTTTGCTTCTTTTGCTTCTTTTTTTCTTTGGCCAGAGTGTCTTGGCTTTCCGTGCCTGAAATACTCTCATGGGATTTTCAGCCAGATTGGAATGCCTTTAGGGCTGATTCTGAGGCCAGAGTGCTGTTTAGGACATCTGCCATTCTATGAGTCTGCTGAGTATCTCGCTTCCCATGTTGGATCACTCTCCCCTTTATTTATTCTATCTGGTTAGTATTAGCAGGTACTAGACTTGTTTATGTGCTCCCTTTGACTCTTAGAACTTTCATTATGATCAATTGCGAACTGAAATTGATCACTTGGAGTAGTGAGATGGCATTGGTACATGCCACCTTGATAGGATTGAATTGGAGTCCCCTGGTATGTTTCTAACTCTACCATTTGGGGCAAGTCAGCTTGAGCATGTCCCAAATTGTACATCTCTTCCCTCTCTTATTCCCACTCTTATGTTTAACAGGGATCACATTTCAGAAGAAGAAGAAATTATCAATTCCCAACTTGACTCTCACTGGGATTAAACATGACAATAGGTCTGATCTGATTTCATCATCATTTAAAAAATCATCTATTATTTTTCACTTTATGTTTCTGTGTGGGAGAAAACTGTTGAAATCTTTACTTAATGTATGCTAAACTGATCTTCTGTATATAAAGAGAATCAAAAATGAATCCTCATGTGAATGGAAGGGGAGAGGGAGTGGGAGAGGGGAGGGTTGCGGGTGGGAGGGACGTTATGGGGGGGGAAGCCATTGTAATCCATAAGCTGTACTTTGGAAATTTATATTCATTAAATAAAAGTTAAAAAAAGAAAAAAAAAGAAAAAAAAACAACCATAAACTTACTTATTTAAAAAAAAAAAAAGAAAAGGCATTGGACAGAGAGTGACAAAAACTGGGTTTTAGTCTAAGCTCTTTCTTCAGTCTACTTGTGTGACCTAATGGAAGTCTGGATAATGGGTGACAGATCAGAGTTACCTCAAAAGAAGTTCCTAGTGTTATGCATAGCTGGATGGCTATAGTTCACAACAACCTATTATGTATTTTATGAGCAAATAAAAAGCTCCAAGGCTCCAGTCATAAAGTAATGTCAAAGAAGGGGAAATGTTTATTACCCATATTTGATTAGTAAACATTGTACACATATGTTGCAATGTCACACTGTAGCCCATTAATATGTAGAATTGCTTTTAATTAAAATGTTCAAAAAGAAAAATATCTTGAGAGGCAATATAATATAGTGGTTAAGAATTAAGGTCCAGAGACAGACCTAGGTATGAATCTCAAATTTGATTTATATTAGTTTGAGAACATCAGTTAACTAATCTGAATCTGAATTTCTTTATAAATAAATTTGAATAATAATAAGGCTTAATTTATAGTTTGTTGTTACTATTAAATAAGATAATTTCTTTAATATGCATAGCACAATGACTAACACTTAGTATATGAGGGTACTTCAAAATATTAATGGAAATGGAATTGAGAAGTTTATTTTGGTGCAAAAATTTTTTGAAATCAATGCATAGTTATTTCATAATGTGCATGTTTCGTGAACTTTTTGAGGACCTCTTATACGCATCTTTTTTACTTTTAAAAAAATTATTTATTTATTTGACAGATAGAGTTAGACAGTGAGAGAAAGACAGAGAGAAAGGTCTTTCCTTCTGTTGGTTCACCCCCAAAATGGCTGCTACGGCTGGAGCTATGCCGATTGTAAGCAAGGAGCCAGGTGCTTCCTCCTGGTCTCCCATGCGGGTACAGGCCATCCTCCACTGCCTTCCCAGGCCACAGCAGAGAGATGGACTGGAAGAGGAGCAACTGGGACTAGAACCCGGCACCCATATGGGATGTCGGCGCTGCAGGCGGAGGATTAACCAAGTGAGCCACAGTGCTGGCCCCTACTCTCATGTTCTATATATGTTATTTTTAATTATTTTGGTGAATTGAGAAAATATGTTTATCATTCCTGCTTCAGATTTATTGTGTAGACTAGAGGAGGTATGAGCAGGTTTTGCTAAGGTAAAACAGAAATCAAAAAATGAAAAACAATTTTAATTCATTTTGAAAGCCTATTTTTCCCATTTCCTCTCTTTAGTATCAACTTGTCAGTTCCACAAAGTAGGTGTTCATTGTACATAAATTACCCTCTCCAAAGTCATTACCTTCTCTGAACAGTTTCTTCCAAGGTTTTAATTTGGCCAGAGTCCACAGTAGTGTACTGAAGTTTTGGGTTCTTTTCTAGATGTGTGAGTGGGTAGGAGATGGCCATGGTGGCCTTGGCACTGCCCCAATTGGCTAAGATTCCACATCCAAAGCAACAGACAGGGATGAAGTGATGAAGCACTTATGAGTTTCCCTGGGGTTGTTTCCTGAATCCCTTTGAATTTTCACATACACAATTAGGAACAATTTCTTAAACTGGACTTGACCAGCCGTAAGATTTTCACCAGTAATCTCAGTGATCCTAAGCAGTAAGCTAGGTTTCCTCTGTGTCATGAAAACGACAATAGGGAAGTTCTCCTCAATTGTCCTGACCATTGAGATTTTAGCACAAAAGTGCATTCAAGGGTCAGGCATTTGGCAGAACAGTTAAGGCACTGCTTTGGACACTAGCTTCCTATAATGGAGTGCCTGATTCTTCTGCTTCCAGTTCCTGCTTGTTAATCTGTATCCTGGGAAGCAGCAGATGATGACTCAGATACCTGGGTCCCTGCCACCCATGTAGGAGACCCAGACTGAGTTCTGAGCTTTTGCCTGCCTCTTCTGGCAGCCCCAGCTGTTGACATTTGGGAGTGAGCCAGCACGGAGAAGACCTCTATCAGACTCTGTTTCTGTCTCTCTGCCTTCTCAAATAAATTAATAAATTAAATAAAGTGAACTCAAGTTCTAAAACTATTTGGCTTCCTTCTTGGCAGGAAATAGACATGTCTTAGGTAGGAACTTCTCTTTTACAATTTTTATTCATATAAAGAGAACAGATTTCATCGGTACAATTCAAAGAAGCAAAAAACTTCTCTCCTCCCCCCAACTCCCTTCCTTCCTTCCTTTTTTTTCCTTTAATTTCTGGAAATACATAATTTTAGCCCACTCTATCAATACAGGCTTAATGTACCACTAACCATACTAACCATAATATTCAACAAGTAAAAGATATAAAGATCATGGTTCCACAGGAGTATATACAAGGGTTAGAACCAATAATAAATCATAAGATGTATGTTTTGTATTCTATTTTATTTTTTGTACTCTATTCTACTTTTTATATTATATATTCATTCTACATTTTCTATTCTATTTTTTGTATTCCATATTAGCTATTACATATCAGAGAAAGCATGTATTTTATATTTGTCCTTCTGATGGATTCAAGGCAACATATGTGGGACCCGGGGGAAATTATTTCCTATTGATTATAATGGATAAGAGCAAGAGTCATGAAATCTAGTTTATACTTACTAGTTATGCCACCTTGAAAAAACTGACATTTTAATACTTTAGTTTCTTTATTGCTAAAATGAGAACAACAGTGATTCTACATCATAGAGTTGTTGTGAGGACTTAGTAAGTTCTCACCTATAAAGTGGAAAAGTGCCTAGCACTCAAAAACTGTTAGTAAAGACTGTAGCACTGATAAAGAGCATGTATTGTATTCCTTTGTTACTAATGGGTAGATCAAAATTTAATTCATAGGAAATCAGAACAGCAGAAGTTTAATCTCAAGAACCTTGCATTCTTAAGAGCAGATATTTCCGCTTACTTAGACTGCATCAATTCTGATTATGTGACTTCATAATGGACAGATTTAAACTATCTCTGAAATCGATTATCTATTAAGCACTATTATTACATACCTAGGAAATATTGCTCTTGGTACAAAACATCCATTCTTCAATTTAAAAATAAATAAATAAGCAAATGGCAAGGAACATGGCACATTAGGCACATTTATATATTGAATGTACCATTCTCCTTGTCAGCATATTTTAGCAAATGACAATAGCCTCTATAAATTACCAATGAGCTGCCTTCACAAACAGAAAGTGAGTCCCTTATCATAAAAGGGCCATCCACATTTTAGCATAATTTTATAAGACTGTGACAATATTCCCAGGGAAAGTAAACAAATTTAGCTCTCCACCAGACATGCACAAAAGCTCTTTATCTTTCTGCTGGGTTATGAGGTTAATTGCCAAAAAAAGATGACCCTGCAAATAACATGCATTGTGTATATCCTGTTAGTGCCTGCCAATAGAAAAGTATGGAATTTTTCTGTCAGCTGGACTTTTGGAACCCTACTTTCAAAGCATCTTCAGTCCCCTACTCAATGAAATGAGCACCTTCCCTAGCTGGAGGTCACGGTTCATAGATCTGAGAATCACCAAATGTATGCTGACTGGCAGAGAAATAAGGACACAGGATTGAGCAGTACAGGGACACAAGTTAGTATGATTTTCAACTTGAAGCTATTCAGCTGGTGCTGTGGGGTGACCTCCTGGAAGGTAAAAAGGTGTAATTGAACTCCATAATTGAACAAGCAAGAGAGAGAAAATGAGAAACAGTAAAAGGGAGTGTCTCAAGATTTGTTGTGTTTGGTTATCCAATTACATTCGTATTTCAGTTTTATTTAATTCTTTTTATTTCCTTGAGAATAAAGAGCAATGCTTTAAAGGAGTCCATAGATATTTTGTCTTTTGATATATTAAGGATGAAAACCAATGGACCTTGGAGTTAGAACCATAATGTCTTAAATTTCTACTTCACTGTTTAGGCAAATTGCTTGGACTTTAGGATTTGTCTCACCGACTGAAGAGGAACAAGAAGGGGTGCGCTGGTACAACACAGACCTGAGCACATGTTCCAGCCATCCTACTTAGAAATTGCACGACTCTCTGGCATGCTACCTTCCCTGACTGAGCTGCTTGCCCATCACTGATAAGAAAGGCAAATAAGAGCTAATTTCAGAACTGTGGCAGAATTACAAAGAAAAAAAAAAAGAACAAAACAAAATGGAAAGTCTTAGCATAGTGCTTGTCTCGTTGTACGACCCAATTCACATAGTAACTAAATTACGTTCTTAATAGTATGTTGAAGGTCAAATAAAGTTTTTTACTGGATGAAATTTCATTAAAAACTTTAAAGTAGAGGTGGCATCCCTTACTGAAATATAAATTCATGTCCTGACTGCTCTACTTCCAATCAGCTCCCTGTATGTGTGCCTTGGAAGGCAATGAATAAATAATCAAATAATATAAATAAAATTAAATAAATTAAAATATAAAATAAATCAAATAAATAAGGATACCTCTTTTTAAAAAAAACTTTAATACATTTTAAACATACCATTACTTTATTAGAGTATAAAATTTGAAAAATGTGTACCTTTTATATATTATCTATGTGAAACAAATTATTTAATTAAACTGTATGTGATAATTGTTTAGTTATTTAGGTTATTTCAAGTATTAGTTTCTCATTGTTACTGTAGCAACCATAAGTGTACTTATTTTAAACAACACAAATGTATTCTCTTACAGTTCTAGAAGTGAAAAATCATGTTGGTAAGTGTGCATTTCCCTTGGAGGTTCCATTTCCTTGCTTTTCCAGCTTCTGTGGGCTGCCTGCATTCCTTAGCTGGTAGCCCCTTTCTTGCATCTCCTAAATCTCGTATTCCATTGTCATATCTCCTACGCAGCCTGATTCCCGCATCCTCTGCTAAACATCCTTGGAATTCTTCGTGCCCACCCAGTAATCCAGTGCACTCTTGACATCTCAAGATCCTTGGCCTAATCACATCTGCAGTTTCTTTTAAGGTAACACTCACAAATTTCAGAGATTAGGAAGCTAACATATTTCAGGAGATATTTTTTCCGCCTACAACATCTGACAGTTGAAAAGAAGAAATGTTTCTGAAAGATTCCTTTTTTTTCCCCAGAGAACTGTTGTAAGAACCTTTATGATCTATTTTGCTGCTATTGTCCTTAGCATCTTAACAGTGACATTTATTGACAACTTCATCATAAAAACAATGCTGTAAGGTAAGTACCAGAAATATGCTCCCATTTTATAAGTGAAAAAAAGGAATATCAAAAGGATCTTAAAACCTATATATGGTCAAAGAGATGGAATTTTTCAAATTCAGGCAGACTGATGTCTGTGGCCACACCCCAGTGTACTCTCCTACTTCCTTTGTGTACTAAGATAGTAAAAATGAATACCACAACATCTCTAATGTTTGCATGGATCTTCAAACTCCTCAAGGATGAAACTGAGAATATGACAGAAGTCATTTTAAACGTCTTCGATTTCATTTCTTTGACGATAATGTGGTTTTAAAGAAGTCTGGCACGCTGAGATGTGCTCCTGCCTTTGGAAATCCTCCTGTCATCCTTACCTGTTCATGCCCATAGTATGCTGCAATGTGCAATGGAGTGAAGAAGACTGCATCTTGAACATTGACATTAGCTCCATGCTGCAGCAACACATCAGCAGCCTGAACAGTAAAGAAATCTTGGTTAGGGACTGCATGTAGGGCATCTGCCCATTACAATTCAACCAAAACGCACGACTCTTAATCAGGAGTTGCCACATGAGACACAAGATCTACCTCCCTTGTCCAAAATTTCCAATGTCTTGATGTCACCTAGAAAATAAAGATAAGACCCTGTGGTATGAAACTTAAGGTTTCCTCAATCTGATGGTATACTTTTTAAAGTGTTTATCATTAATCTCTTTCTTAAAACTCAATTGTATAGTCAAATTTCATTTAGTTTTCTGTTCCTTTTTTGGTTTGTTCACATTATTTCTTCAGCCAGGAATTCCCTTCTGCTCAATCTACAGGTGCTAAAAAAACAGCTAAAATCAGATCTCATCCCATATTTTCTTCCCTTCTATCTGGCTGGAATCAAATCTTCCCCCTACTTAAATTTCATTTAATTTTCATTCATGTCATCTAGAAAAAATTTCTATTTATATTCATATTTTATCATTCCTGCCAAAGAAGAAATTCTTTAACAACAAAGTGTATATCAGATTCATGTTTACAATCTCACCCAACCATGTTACTGTACAAATAGTAATCATTCAATAAACATTTGTTGAATAAATGAACTATTTAATGGGAAAGTGAAAAATACTACCAGGAACTATTGACCAGCTCTTTGTGGAAAGTCATAGATTGGCAATTGTAGGAGAGGAAAAAAATATTTTCCTCTGCCCAGTTTAGGTTCTCCAATGGGGTCCCTATAATTAGACTGATAAAAGACAAATTAAGGTGAGAAAAATGAGCAAAAATTTATGAATATGTATGTCATATAGGCACATGGAGGTACTCCATTATGAAAAACTCAAAAGTAGTGGTTAGAACCCAGTCTTATCTTAATAAAAGGGCAATAATTTTTGTTGAAAAGTAGTAAGACAAAGGATAATGAGCTTTGAGGAATATAAATTGGGGGGCAATAAATTCATGGGGAAAAGAATGGAAGAGAAGGGCTAGTTTTAGCAAGATTTCATATATGGATTCATCTGGTACTTCTCTGGACTGATAAGGGTCTAGAGTTGCCTCCAGTGGTACTTTATCTTTTCTGGTAGAAAAAGGAAGAGATTCACCTTTACAAATTTATGTACTGCTGTAATACAAAAAGGGAGAGGAAAGAGAGCTTTTATTAAATCTGTTTCTTCTCAATTTTCCCTACTTCCGAATAATCACAATACCAAACTGGCATCTTTCAAGGTGGCATATTCTGGTACCCTTCATCAATAGCCTGCTGACCCTTTAGATTTCTTCTCCTATAACCTATTTCTAAGTCTCCCTCTCTTCTGGACAACATACTTGAGTCATTTCCTTTAGATGTGTTTATTGTTATTGTGAACTTTTTAAAAAACATTTTCTTTATTTATTTGAAAGTCAGAGTTATAGAAAGGGAAAGACACACACACACACGTGTGCACGCACACACACAGAGGGTGTGTGAGAGAGAAATCTTCCATCTTCTAGTTCACTCCACAGAAAACCACAATGGCTAGTACTGAGCTGGCTGAAGCCAGGAGCTTCATCCAGGACTCCATGTGGGTACAGGGGCCCAAACACTTGAGCCATCATCTGCAGCATTTCCCAGGACATTAGTAGGGAGCTGGATTGGGAGTGGAGCAGCCAAAACCCTTATGGGATGCTAGCATCACAGATGGCAGCTTTACCTGCTACACCACAATTCTGACCCCTACTGTGGACTTTCTTTCTTTCTTTCTTTTTTTCTTTCTTTTTTTTTTTTTTTTTTTGACAGGCAGAGTGGCCACAGCAAAGAGCTGGCCTGGAAAAGGGGCAACAGGGACAGAATCGGTGCCCCGACCGGGACTAGAACCCCGAGTGCCAGCGCCGCAAGGTGGAGGATTAGCCTACTGAGCCGCGGCGCCGGCCGTGGACTTTCTTAATGTACTGTTTTTCTTCAGTTGGTCAAAGACTATACATTTGAAATATTTTCCAGAAATCTATTTTAGGAAAAAAAGAAAAACAGGAAGATGAGGTCCAAGAGCTCAAGGGATGTGGGTTATATCAACTCCCTGTTCCTATAAACAATCTGCTGCCAAGTCAAGTTTCTTTACATGTGTGAATCACACTCCTACAGAACTAGAGAGGGTGCTTAGAGCAATTCCTACATTGTAGAGATAAAAAACCTGAGATTAGAGAAATTAGGAAATTTCTCATAGTCATAGAGAAAGTGAGTGCCAACAGGAAAGAGAATCTTTAGTTTATTATTTCAAGCTTTGTTTCTAAGAATTCCATAGTTTTTTTTTTTTTTATAAAGATTTTATTTATTTATTGGAGAAGTAGAGTTACATAGAAAGAGAGGGTGAGACAGAGAGAAAGGTGTTCCAGTGACTGGTTCATTTCCCAAATGGCTGCGATGGCCAGAACTGAGCACATCTTAAGCTACCAGCCAGCAGCTTCTGCCGGGTTTCCTTTGCAAGCGCAGGGACCCAAGCACTCGGACCATCTTCCACTGCTTTCCCAGGGCATAGCAGAGAGCTGGATCAGAAAAGGAGCTACTGATACATGCCAGTAATTCAGACAGAGGCTTAGCTTACTATGCCAGAGTACCAGTCCCAGTATTCCATAGTTTTAAGTAACTTATTCATTGAGTATAATTTATCGAGTGCATGTGTGCTAGAACTCTTCTCTTCAATGCTTAATCTAATAATTCAATCAACCAATGAGATAGTATTGGAACTCTTTATAACTTATTTTAAAATGGATAAGAAATTCTTGGTAGAATGAAATTTTTGGTGGGCTCCAAAGTATAAGCAGGTATACAGGCTCCTATAAATTATCACAATAGTGCTTTTCCTGATGTTTACTAATGATCAATGCATATGGTGAGTTGTTTTTCTAATAAGAAAGTTAAAGCTATAATTTCATATGTATTAGGCCCTGAAATAAGTACATTAATGATAATTGGCTGGGACCAGCGCTGTGGTGTAGTGGGTTAATGCCCTAGCCTGGAGTGCTGGCATCCCATATAGGCACAGGTTCAAGACCTGGCTGCTCCACTTCCGATCCAGCTTTCTGCTATGGCCTGGGAAAGCAGTAGAAGATGGCCCAAGTCCTTGGGCCCCTGCACCCATGCGGGAGACCTGGAAGAAACTCCTGGCTCCTGGCTTTGGAGAGGCACAGATCTAGTTGTTGCAGCCAACTGAGGAGTGACCAAGCTGATGGAAGACCTCTCTCTCTCTCTCTCTCCTCGCTGCCTCTCTTATCTCTGTGTAACTCTTTCAATTAAATAAATAAATAAATCTTAAAAAAATGATAATTGGCATCTACTCTGTTTCAAACTAAAAAACAGAAATGTAGGAGCTATTCTGTTTTAAAGTGGTAGAAATTGATCCTTAGGGAGACTAGGAAAGATAAATGAAGCCAGCTTAAAGGGCAGAACTGGAATGCAAATTCAGATCTCTTTGACTTCAAAGTTTTTTTCCATAAGTATGGTCCTGTGAATGTTTATGTGAATTTTACTACTAAAATTTTTAAAATTTTATTTCAGTTATACAAGTTTCATGTATTTCATATAAACTGATTCAGCATTATAGTGATACTAAGTCTTAAGTAAATGAACTTAGTCCCAGATAGGAGGAAGCCACTTGTTTATGGAGGCTCAGGTAGAGTCAGTTTAGATATGAATCAGATAGTCATTTATATCAACTATCTGGTATCTCAGGCTTGGTGTGCTTGGGAGTTCAATCTCAGAACTTATTACAGGAGACCACCATAGTTGATGAAGCTCCTCACAATTTCTTTTTTTAAATATAGAAGAAAACAGACATGTGGACCAATGGAACAGATTAGAGATCCCAGATATTAATCCATGCATCTACAACCAACTAATTTTTGACAAATGAGCTAAAATCACTACCCAGAGAATAAGCAGTCTCTTCAACAAATGGCCTTGGGAAAACCAGATCTCTGCATGCAAAAGTATGAAACAAGGACCCTACTTTACTCCCCTTACAAAAATGAACTCTCAATGTGTCAAACATCTAAACTTTAGACCTAAAACCATAAAATCACTAGGGAGCATATTGGTGAAACTCTGCAAGACACTGGCATACCCAAAGACTTGGATATGATCCCAGAAGCATGGGCAAAAAAAGCAAAGACAGACAAATGGGATCAGAGGAAGCCAAGGAACATCTGCACAGCAAATGAAACACTCATCAAAGTGAAGAGGCTACAGACAGAATAGGAAAAAAAACTTGTGAAATATTAATCTGATAAAGGATTAATTTCTAAAGTATAAAAAGAGCTCAAGAAACTCAACAACAATAAAACAATCCAGACAAGAATCGGGTAAAAAAATGAACAGGCATTTTTTTTTTTTAAGATTTATTTATTTGAAAGTCATAGTTACACAGAGAGAAGGAGAGGCAGAGAGAGAAAGTCTTCCATCCACTGGTTCACTCCCCTAGATGGCCGCAATGACTGGAGCTGCACTGATCCAAAACCAGGAAGGGGATGCCAGAACTGCAGGCGGCATCTTTACCCGCTACGCCACAGCGCTGGACCCAATGAACAGGCGTTTTTCAAGGGATGAAATACAAATGGCCAACAGACACATGAAAAGATGTTCAGGATCAGTAGCCATCAGGGAAATGCAAATGCAAATCACAATGAGGTTTCACCTCATCCCAGTTAGAATGTCTGTCATCCAAAAAATCAAAAATAAAAAGTGCTGGTGAGGATGTAGGGAAAAAGATACCTTAATACACTGTGTATAGGAATGTAAACCAGTAGAACTGTTATGGAAGACAGTATGGAGGTTCTTCAAAATCTGAAAATAGATCCACCATATGACCCAAGCATTCCATTCTTGGGAATTTACTCAAATGAAATGAAATCAACATATGAAAGAGTTATTTTCATGCCTATTTTTATAGCAGCTCAACTCACAATAGCTCACATATGGACTCAACTCAGATATACATCAGTGGATGACTGGATAA